ATCACACAGGGGAACAAACATAGCCTTAGAGAATGATATTCACACTAAGTGAGATATCAACTGAGACAGTGGTTTCCCTAGAATTCAATCTTTAAGTGTCTCTCTGGCAATCTGATTTCTTGGCTATGGGATCATTTTCTTGCAGACAAGAGGAATTCTGATAGGGCTATAAACTGTATGCAAATATTATATGAACTACATTTATCAAGATGAATTTGGAAGCCTACGTGCAAAGAATACACTTTATCTTTAAAAACTCTGCTTTTCTTCATATCTTTTTGACTCTGCCCTTGTTTGTATTTCTTGTTGTTCCTTGTCTCATTTTTACTGGAAAAAAAAATCTGACCATTGGGCCTAAAGTATGGACTGAATCATGGGATCCTAAACTGGCATTGAGGGCCAAGATTTAATCTGCTTTGTTTCAAGTGGGAAGTACAGGGAAGATCAAATAAGTTCAAATCCAGGTCAAATATTCTCCAAAAAAAAAAATCTTTGATTTATAGAAGAGGAAAATGAGGTTTAAAAGAAGTGATTATGAAAGGGTTACTAAAAACACAGCTGTATGTGCACTCTTATATCTAAGGCTCTCCACAGAAAAACTGTGTGACATCTATATTAACCTTTGGCTACACACCAGTGAAGGCCTGTAGTGTGCTGGAATGCAGAGCAGCCCCTTCCAAATTTTAACACAAGCCAGGTTACAGCTGCAGATGCCTGTAGCCCATGCTCACTTTATAAAGTATTCCCTGAAGGAAATTTTTAAACTGTTACAGAATCTTTTTCTAATACCCTACAGTGGTAGGGCCTGTTATTAAAGGGCAAAAGGATAGTTCCTTATGCCAAACACTTGTCAACAAAAAGGATAGCCAGATGGTATAAAATAAAATAATAATAATAAAAAAAACTTAGAGGCTCTTCAGGTTTCTTGATTTATATTAACAAAAGCCACTCTTATGTGTAGATTCCAAGGAGGACTAATTTTCAACTTTCTCCTTTCACTTCAAAGATGAAACTATTTACTTCCTTTATAACCTGCACCCGGGAATAAACACTAATCGTACATCCCTGACACCTGGGGTTCTTCAGAAGAATTATGAAGTGACCTGACTTTCCATATGAGAAGTGGGATGGATTTCCAATTGGATTCAGTTAAGAAACCATGCATTGCCCTGGGACTGTTTTCTAGTGAGTAGCCTGTTTTGAATTCCAAAATTAATCTACACAGAGAAGTCAGGGGCTTGTTAATCCAAACCAGTTTACAAATCTTGCTATTGAACTCAAATATCCAGGCCCATTAAAATCTGAATGTGAATTAACTGTCTAACATTACATTCTGCTTTATTGTAGGGACTGCTCTTTGTTGGAAGGCTACTTCTGAAACCTTCATTCCCATCACTGCCGGCTTTCTGGTAAATTTGCCCCTTCCATTATATACCATATTCTGTCCATCTCATGTACACAAGCTTCTTAATTCCAAGAGTAGCAGCTTATAGAAAAGGTTAAGATGTCACAAGCACAAAACAGGACAGAGATATGCTCACTACCCCCCCCCCACACACACACACTACAGAGAGATGAGCATTTTCTTTAGGCTTACGATACTTGCATCTTTTCTGGTTCTGAGAAGAAACAAAATCTTGCCTTTGAAATATAGTAATCTGTGGTAATTGTCCCTCTTGGCAAAGTGGGATAAGGTTTAATACAGACTACATCTAACCATTCATTCATCTTTAAGGAAAAAACAAAAAACAAAAAAACTCCACCCCCACAATATCTCTTCTAATTTGCTCTTGAAGTACCAGAAAACTACACACATTGGAGCCAGGAGCGTTTGAATGTGTATTCTAGCTGGTAGCTGGTCTAATTCATTAGGACGTCCACAAACAAGTCAGTCTTTGTCCTTTAAAGATGAAAGCAGCATGAGTATAACGGGTTGAAAGGTGTGCACACAGTGATGAGGAAAGCCACTGGGGATCTGTGTCCTTTTTAAGCTTGTCCCGGCATGCACCCATGACAAGGGAACAAAACAGCACAGATAAACCTCTCAAAAGTGCCTTGTTAGCAATCATTCCACCTGTCTATGAGAGACGATTGGAGCTGGCCTGCCCAGTAACTAATGACTGACCACGCTGACAGTAATTCAGTATAATGGAGCCTTCTCCACGGAGGACACTTTCATGCTTTCAGAGCTGACTACAAAAGCCAGTCAGGGTTGAACAAATGTCTCCTTAATGGACCAAGTCAGGATTTTAATATAGAGCTTCAACTTCCCCGATTTACTGGGCTCACTCTTTGAAGAGACTTCCACACTGTACTCCTGTCTCCTTTTTCTACTCCCACTCCCCACCCCACCCCACCAAAGGCACTAGTTAATACAGTATATTATATATATGATGAAGGAGAATAGCCAGGCATTCATATTCCCAGAGAAAGTTTAGAGAAAAAAAATGTATGTTGGTAGTCTAATTTAAGAAGGTCAGTTGATTTGGAGGGGAGTTGGGGGTGGGGGGAAGAATGAGAATGAATTTTTCAAGACAAATTGTTCCCTGGGAACTAAACTTTTAACAAAAGCTCACATAGTCCATACAGCTTACAAAACATTTTCTCACAACCCTGTGAGTTAAATATTACTTTCCCATTTTACAGATGAGTAAACTGAGGCTGAGAGAAGTTAAATAACTAGCCCAGGATGACACAGTAAATGTCAGAGCTGGGGATGTGAACCCAAGTGTCTTAACTACAAATCACAAGCTCTTTCCATTAAACCTGGCTGCCTCCCTAAAACTTCTGACCTTATCTGGAGTAGAAAATAATAACATTTGCTCTGCCTCCACTTTTGGTTTAGTAAGGTTTGTATTGATTTAGTATTATTATTTTGATGTTTGAACATACACACAAATCTGTTAGCTTAAGTTGCTGTTCCAGTTTTCTCTGTGCTATGGTAGTAGCTTACACATGTAAAATGAAAGTCACAGAAAACAGAAACTCTGATAATAATGTTATCTCAGAAACCAAATATTTGAACACCAGCTCTACACTTTGCATCTTAAATGTCTGGTTTGAGACAACAGTCTGGCTGAATATGATGAAATGGGAAGGGGAGGGGAGAAAGAGCCACAGGTGGAGGAGGAGGAAAAAAAGAGCCCAATGGGAAAGCACAGAGACAAGAGCCCTGAACTTGGGCATCAGGAGACTCTGGATTCACACTCCGGCTCTGACTTTCAGTGACTGTGTGACCCTGGATAAGTAACTTTATATTTCCTACTTCATAGGATTCTGTGAATTGTGTGAGAGGAATCGAGGAAAACACTTTTGTAAACCATACATTTAACTTTAATATTTCAAGTATTATGTTCATTTGAACTATAAGTATTATTATTTCTGCGAAAGATGAGAAGCTCAGAGCTTTGAGTTTTGAGAGACAGAGAGAGATTCTAAGTAGACTGCAGATCCCACCTTTCCAAGGTCCTCCCAGCAGGTGGCCTCTACCCCTGAGGCCAAGGGAAGAGGATGGACAGCCATCTGCATAGCTTGCACTCTCTCTCTCTCTCTCTCTCTCTCTCTCTCTCTCTCTCTCTCTCTC